TTAAGAATCGCCCCCCCCCCCCCAAATCATGCCCACTTGGCTTGCACCACTGTATCCGGCAGATGCTTTTTTAATTTTAGGTATTAATGGCTATTACTAGTATCAGTTAACTAAAGGCTGTTATAAATATTGTCAAAGGCTTATATGTAACATTTTAATTTGAGGAAAGTAGTGGGGCAACCTAAAATTCTGATGGGAAACCTAATTTTTGCCGTAGTTCAAAAAATTGTAATATACACACCATAGATCTAGATAAACCCAGTTAACTCTAGCTCCGACCGGTCACAGCCGGAATTTTCTCAAAGTACTGACCCAGCCAATGGAAACTGCCTTGAGTATCTAAATGTTGAACTTGAAGCATTGACACTGGCAGGGCTTGTCCAAGGTCATTGTGTATTGATTATTCACTTCAACATAACGTAGTATTTCCATTTCCGTTATGATAGTTATTGACATAGAGTCAGCAGAGAGCTTGGCTATTGATTCGCATGTATATGTACAATACAAAGACATGCATTGGCCTTTATACTGTTGTTGAGGTATTTTGAACCGGTGTTTGAAATACCTGTCTGCACTCTGCAGATAGATTTTCAAAATTGCAGAAGAAAAATTTATACAATCTGCAATTTTGCAGAAGGAAAAATAGGCTCCAGATTCAATAGTTTTAAACTTTAAGTATTTCCGAATTGCAGAACAAAATTTTGACTCTTCTGCAATATTGCAGAGCACTGAAAAAAAATTATTTCGACCACTGTGAACTGAGTACTATATTTATTTTGCCTATACCTGCTTTCATGTCTAAATGCATGCATGGGCTGTGACTCAACAAAATTGTTACAATTGAAAATAGCACCAGCCATAGAAGATGTATTTTTACTACCTCACAAGTTGAACATGCATGCAACGGTATTGCATTTGGAAAAAGAACCCAAAGCAATTTTAGCTCAGCAAGACAAGAAATATTCTGGCTGAGGAAATCTGTTTGATATAATTGATATTTTAACTGCCATTTCTTAGCACATTTTCCTCATCATTTCATACAACTTGATACAAGCATTTGAAAAAGGGAAAAAAAACAAGCTACTAGTACTACTAGTCCCCTTAATTTTTTGGCACCACCAGTTTATGAATGACACGAAACAAGCAACCATTTTTTGTCCGCAACATGCCAACATCTTATTTTGCCTTATAGATATTGGTAATTTAGGTTTGATTCAACTTACTGTATAATAAAAAAAATTCACCAGAAAATTGACTCAGAAAAAACAGTTTTACTGCTCTGAAATTTCTTTGGATGAGTACTTTAACAGTTGATACAATATTCACTCCAATGTTGTTAAATTTTACTGGACCACCAAATCCGTAGACTTAACATTCCACAAGTGGCAACATAGGGCTTGATGTGGCAGTTTACAGCATGTGACTGCTTGAAAAAATATTTGGGTGCCAAATATTAGCATTACCTTTTAAACTACAAGGTCAAATACAGGAGGATTCCCCAGGGTACTGCACAACATGGCCGTCCTTTGATGGGGGGACCATCTCAAAGGTACTAACTTTTGGGGGCAGTTTCAAAAACAGCATTCATCTTAAAACGAATGCTAAAATCACCTTTTATTTGCAAACCAATACTGTGGAAGATACATGTAGCACTCTTTAGAATAACCTTCACTTTGAGGAAGAAAAGTACTGATGAATTACCTTTGATAGAGGGACCATCTCAAAGGTGTTAAGGTTTTGGGGCACTTTCAAAAATAGCATGCATCTTAAACAACAATGTTTCATTCAAATAACCATTAAAAATTTAATTGTACACCGATGCTATGGCAGATATAACAGAAATTTAAAACTCTTGAGAATTATTTCCATGTACAAGAAAAAAAGAACTAATGAATTGTTCCCCTCTCTATCCTGACATGATATTTGAGAACCAATGAGAGCCCAGAGGTCCTCCCCAAACCACAGATCCCTAGCCTGGATGCCAGACCCATAGTAAGCTATGCCTCGGAGTTTAACTGAGAGGGGCAGAGGAACTGGCCTGTTCAGCCTTGGGAACAGTCTGGTACCCTGGCTACAGACCCCACATGTAGGGAGGATGTTGCACAGTAGCATGGCTATAGGATAGACCCCTGGTACTAAAAGCAAATGACCTGAAATTTGGTATTGGGATATCTTGGACACATGTCTACTGAACGTCATTCAAGCTTATTACATATACCATATTTAAGGCCTTTGGAACAGTCTGGTACCCAGGCTACAGACCCCACATGTAGGGAGGATGTTGCACAGTAGCAGGGCTAAAGACCCAGATGTGTGCAAGATAACCCTCAGGGATGGGGTCAGAATACAGCCAGATGATACACACATTTATCACATGTGCATGGAAATGTCACACAAATATATGGTACTGGTATGGTATTTCCATAATGCAATTTGATGACAATGACCATTCAATTAAGATTGCATTTTATCATTGCATGATCTAACAACATTATATACGGTAGGATAAGGCCTAGGAAAAAAAGTATGTTTCCTGTTTCAGTCCTGAAAAACAGTAGGTAGGGATTATCTTTTTTTTTTCTTTTGGCAGTTTTTTCTAGGGTCGGTCAGGAAACAGGAAACACAAGATTTTTTTCATAGGCCTAAGGGGTCAAGCCAAAAAGTTTATGTATCGTCATTAAATTCTTTGTTTGCCTACAATATATAACTATAATTCCAATAGTAATTGTTGGCGTAGTAAGAAACCTTTTTTGTTGGGAATTGTTGCAACGTATGCAGGTCTTTCTAAGAATTCGATAACTGTGGTTATACCTGTGACACCGCAATTACCAGAAGATTTAGATAGTAATTTGTCGCCCCAGGCTTTTCCTTGTGTTCCTAATACTCATATTCTCAATGTAGGTCATTATTTTGTTGCTACATTTTAAGGTAGAAACCTTTTTTGCTTGCGCTCTCTGTGTATACACATCTGAAAAATTGGTAGAAGAAAACTTTTCATCAAGACAATACTATTACATAATAGTTATGTTGACTTTCTGTTATTACTTGGTGATTGAAAAAAAATGAAACAAAGTAATTACGTTGCGATATCCTAGGGGCGCGTGGTCCTGTGCTATTTCTATAGTCAGACACGTGCTGAGCACCCACAATGCTAGTATTTGCGTCACGCATTCCTTGCATTCTGGTCAGATCAGGCACGTAGCACCCATTACCGGGGGAATGGGAGGGTTGGGATGCCTCAGTCGGTCACGCGTTGATGGGCATTATGACTTTCCATCAGCGGCGTATCACTACCACGATATAAAGTCCTCACCAACTGTCTATCATGCGTGGGAAAAATCAAGAGTTTGGGTTACAGACAAATAAAGCTGTCACAGATGAACCTTACCTCCAATCCAACTGGTTTGATCTTGGCTCTTGGAAATGTTAGATTATACCTAAAATGAAAAGATACCATTAATTGTTATGACTGAGTTAAAACCAATTAGAACTAGAAAGGCCGACATTTGCTTGGGAGCAAATACAGCATATTTCAGTCCATCTCCCTCCCACGCAAAAGTGGACTATTCCAAACTTACCCCAGTGCAAAACTGGCAAAGGTTCTCAAATAAATGAATTAAATAGTAGCTATATGAGAACAAAGATGCAACAACAAGTACTTTGAATCTTGAAAGCTTTACTAATCTTATAACAGGTATGCAAAAACTAACAATGATGAGATTTGATACATTTTGAAGGTCTTAGGCACATAAAATTGAATGTGTGGGTCATTACGCACCACTTAGGTGCAATGTGACCTCAGGTAACCCGCAATAGAACACGTGTTCCATGGATGGAACCGGCCATTCTTTAGATAGAACATGGAACAGGTACAGCACTTTTGGCCCTTTTTTTGCTGAAAATAGCCATTAAAGTCCCCCAAATGAGTCATTTGGAAGTGGTGTATGCCAAATACATGACTGCTATTCTGTAGACACATGTTCAAGGTACCCTTATACCGAATGTCATATCATTTGGTTGTAATACCAGGGCTCAGGATCCAAAAATCCATTTTTTGTCGAAAAATGCCCCAAAAAACCTTCAAAAAAATTTTTCAAAGGCATATTTCAAAAAAATGAAAAAAACGTCTGGGGGTATTTGCCCACTCTACCTCCATGCCAAATTTCAGGTCATTTGGCTGAATGATGGCGGAGTTGAATCCCTTTGACTGTTTGGCAGGAGGAGAAGGAGAAGGAGGAGAAGGAGAAACATGAGGGAACACAATATATTTCATCCATACCATGGTATGGACTGAAATATAATGAAAGAAAATGGTCAAGTGAAAATCGTTATTCAATGAATAACGATTGAATTATTGTGAAAATTGTGAAAGCAGTTTGCACAAACATACTAATGTTAGGGAACTCTTTGAATTTTGTGGTACCACCACAAACTACCAGTATGTCAACAAACAATGTCAAAGTCTGGCCTTGTGTTATACATTGACAATCATGTTTTTGTTGTGTTGCAGAGGTTCACACAGTACCTGGCCTCCAGAACAACAGTATTCAACTTGGACAACTTCCTGGACAAAAGCGGGGTTCAGGGTAAGTTTCATCATAATGTACAAACTTCAGGGGTGCCAGAGTATGTGCATACAGTGCAATTTTACGGAATACAGAGCAATTTTACGGAATACAGTGCAATTTTACTAGTATACAGTGCAATTTTACTAGTATACAGTGCAATTTTACAGAATAGATTGCATTGTATTCCGTAATAACTTTGTTATTGAATCGTTTGAGATGGAGAATGTTTGTGTTTGCCAGGCTATGACATGTCTACCTTCATCCGGAGATATGGCAAGTACCTGAATGAGAAGGCTTTCTCTTACCGCAACGTGGCTTTCGACTTCACAAGAGTCAAGAGAGGGTGAGTGGAACATTTATAGTTTTATACTAGGCATCTTATAATAGCTCTAATATCTATGATATGAGCCATGAAATCAACATACCAGGCTGATTTGTATTTCAAACAATGAATTTTTGTATTCTGCATTCAGATAGATTAAAAAAACTGTAACAACTATAGGAAGACATTCAATGACTTTGGGGCTAAAATATGACTATTTTAGAGGGGTTTTTTGGGGGACAAATTAAAAAAAAGAAAAGGAAACAAAGTGGGTGAATTAGAGAACCTTATTAATTAAATTGGTATGACCTAAACAAAAAAAAAAACAGTGTAAAGTGTATTCAGAAACATCTGCAATAATTTTCAGATCTGAGGTTATATCTCCAAAACGTTTTAGATAGAGTGGAACTTGTTGCCACCAAGCACATTTTGGGCATCATCACTAGAAAGCTTTAAACAACAGTTAACGTTACTGCTGCAATTAAATGTGCAAAGATTGAGTGTAACAAGTCGTTTGGTGTGATATAGCTAGCTGCCACCACGCCGCGTGCCTGCGAAGCTGGTATGTTACACCAAAGGGCGGTTATACCGATACAGATACAGAACGTCCAGTATTTTCGAGAGATTGTCCAGACCATACCACTCCAGTACTACAGCTAGTAAAACGCAGATGATTTATGTAGTAAAGTTCCAGGGTGGTCCACTGAGAAGTTAATGAAGGAAGCCAGTCCCATTCTGCTGACCAAGCAAGACTCTCTGAGAGAGTTGTAAGTCACAGAGCTGGAAGGGTTGGGGCCACAAAGGGGTTTTACTGTGTACATGGACAAAGTCAGTGTTCTAGCCAGTATTTGACAGAATTTTGCTGCTCGGGACAGACAAAAATTCTGCCAAATTCAAATTGTTGGACAAAACCATAATGTGTAAAGATATGGAACAAGATAATCATTCAATGAAGCTTAAGGTCCACCAGCAAAATGTCAAGTGTTCTAGCCAGAATTTGACAGAATTTTGCTGCTTGGGAAAGGCAAAATTTCTGCTAAATTCATCATCTTTGATTCAAATTGATGGACAAAACCAATGTGTAAAGATATGGAACAAGATACATGACATCATTCAATGAAGCTTGAAGTCTGCCAGCAAAATGCCCCTCAAACTGTTAAAAGATATACAACGAGATATCATTCAACTAAGCTGAAAGTCTACCAGCAAAATTTACCCCTCAAAATGCAAGAAATAGGTTTCAAGGGATCAAGATTTTAACATTTTCCAGGGGGAGCAAGCCACATTCATGTATATATAAACCGTACATGTATGGACCAGTGCAGGTAGGTACAGAAATACCTGCACATCTCCAAAATTTTACCTGGTTACCTGAACATGCTGGTGATATTTCTAGTCCTGTGTAACATCATAATCCTAGCTGGAACATTGCCAGTTCTAGAGGCAACACAAGATTAGGGAGAAAATAGAATTAATTTTACTTCCGTGTGCAGTATCCTAACAGAATACTAAGTGCCTGTTGTAAAATAGTGCATATTCAAGGTTTGTTGCTTCGTTTTACAAGTTGATCAATTAATTGTAAGTAGGGGTCTTCTTCATAATTTAGTTTATTGTCTGAAAATTTATTAAATCATTCCTAAATGCAAATGATGATCAGAAGATAATACATATTGATATGCAAATGACTCTTGTCACCCACTGTGTATTATATTACTAGCACATAACCCTTGGGAAGGATTTGCAAGGATAATTTACAATGTACCTTGAAAATGAATAGATATTTCAGCCAGTATTACAGATATTAATGTATAAACAATTTAAGTCTTACTCAACAGATGTGGAAATCTTTCAGTATTTAACAGGTCAAAAAATAACAAGTAGGAAAGCTGACACTTCAAAAACCTACTAAATGTTTTGAGAATTTTCTTTTCACTTTAACGTTTTTAAAGATTGTACCATAACCTGCCCCTACATGAAAAAAAAATTAGGTTCAAATCAACTTAATTAGCAGTTGAAAGAAAATGAAATTCTATTGGTAATATTTCAGTGTTCTGCAATATTAATAATGTAAATATTGTAGAATGTCACAATATTGTTCTGCAATTTGGAAATACTTCCTGCAAATACTTTTGAGCTCTGACTCAAACATACAATGTATACAAAATTGCATGTTGGTAGTATATCATTAAGTCAGTAGTAAGCACAGAAGTGCCTGACCAATATTATACAGACACAATCAAACCCCTATTCTGATTTCTTCAGTCTGCAAAATTGCAGATTGCTTAATTCTTCTTCAATCTGCAACATTGAAAATTTCTCTGCAAAATGCAGTCTGCAGATGGGTATTTCTAACACTGATTTAGGTCTAAAGCAGCATTACCACTTGAAAGAAAATGAAATTCTATTGGTAATGCAGTATAGACAAACAAAAACTCATTGTAGGAAGCCATATGATGTTGTCCTTCACTCGATGAGTATTCAATTATCAGAGCTACTGCCTCGTGAAATGGAAAGCGGAGATATATAAGAGGGAAGAATTCTCCGGGGGCGAATTTCCTTCTCGGTACCTCCGCACTACAAATTGGTTGAGAGTAGCGTCTCAGCTCTTCCATTATTGATGAGTGGTATCGGAACGGTAGCGCGGGTTTTATTTAGGGCTCAGCAGGATTTAGAGAACGAAGCACGGTTCATGATAGCGTATACAGTACGCAGATTTAGGGTCGCTGCAGGCCATTGGATTAACTCGTGGCTCGGTTGAAGAGTTAAATACCGGGGAGCCAAATTCTGGGTTCACGGGGAATTTCAGACTGTCAAGATCAAATAGGAACGAGAAATCTGAGGTTTTAACCACCCAGGAAGTATGGAGAGTTTGCAAATAAAGGTTGCTTTAGTAGGCTAACAGGACTGAGGATGATATGGAATATACCGTGTTGTATTTTATTCATGTTATACCTACCCAAGAAAAAACACTTTCAATGCAAAATGTGCAAAAAGTTTAGAAAATTTGTTGTCCCCAAACAAAACATTGTCAATTCCAACGTCCGATTTGCAAAAAGCATTGCACCGGGAAATGTGTTTAAATTAGTCCATGGAAGTTTTATGTGATATGGCTAGTTATCACACAGGCCAATACACCAAAATGACTGTTATCATGACCGAAATATGACATAAAAGTCTGTAATATAGTAGCTTTGTCTCTGTACTATATAATATAACTAAATGAATGGTTTGATAACACACATATTTTATGCCGTTACAGGAAGGAGGAGGGAGAGTTACGTAACATGGGCACAGAGAAACTGCTGAAAACTCTTCCTGTAGTGCAGCAACAGCTGGATGCCCTGCTGGAGTTTGATGTAAGTCTGCAGACACAGTTTTTGAAGACATTCCATAACAAGCAGAACTGTCCTTTGTGCTGATTGCATTTCTGAAGTCACAACAGCACAAGGAAGTTAATATGTACATAGCATTTTTTCAATACCCTTCTTGACAGCATTAGAACCATTTCAAACACAACTGTCCTTGGTGCTGAAGTCAAAACAGCACAAGAGTATCAGAACCAATACAAACAGAACTGTCCTTGCTGCTGAAGGCATTTCTGAAGTCACAACGGAAAGTTCACATTAACCAAGCAATATCATACCTGTGTCAGAACCATTGCACACAGAACTGTCCTTGGTGCTGAAGGCATTTCTGAAGTCACAACTGAAAGTTCACATTAACCAAGCAATATTATACCTGTATCAGAACCATTGCACACAGAACTGTCCTTGGTGCTGAATGCATTTCTGAGGTCACAACAGCATTAGAAATTTCACATTGATATATCATTACAAACAGAAGTGTCATTGGTGCTGAAGGTATATCCGAAGTCAAAACAGCACTAGAAATTTTGAATTGACAGGCATTTTTTCAATACCTTATCACAGTATCACAACCATGACAAACAGAACTGTCCTTGGTACTCAAGGCATTTCTGAAGTTAGAACAGCACTAGAAATTTCGCAATTGACACAGCATTTTTTCTATGCTTTGACAGCATTAAAACTATGTTAAGCAGAACTGTCCTTGGTGCTAAAAGTTCGCAATTGACACATAATTTTTTTTCTATACCTTTATAGCATCAAACCCATTACAAACAGAACTGTCCTTGGTACTGAAGGTATTTCTGAAATCATAACACAAGAATGTTTGCAATTGACATTGTATTTTTCAATATATCATCACAGCATCACAACCATTATAAAGAGAACTGTCCTTGGTGCTGAAGGTATTTCACATGCCTTGAACATGTTTAGTAGTCATGAATCAGTTTTATGTGAAGATGAACATTTTTGTCCTAATGGCATGTCCCTCTGCCCCCCTCCCACAGGTGACTCCCAATGAGCTGACTAACGGAGTCATTAACAGCTGCTTCATGCTGCTCTTTAAGGACTGCATCAGGCTCTTCGCCTGCTATAACGACGGGATCATCAACTTGTTAGGTAAGCCCACATTCTGTAAACTAGCCAGGCTATATACAAACATAGGGATTCCTTAGATCAAGTTCTTTCTTAGTTATGGTACTATCACCATGCACAATTTTGGTGATGTACATGCATTGGGTGGTATTTGGTTGAGATCTTGAAGTAAGGGAATGGTGGTAGATAAATGTGTAGGTACTGCAAATCACAATTTTTTGCAGTACTTTTATATTCATGATTTTTGCAGTCAATTCTGTACTGTTGACTTATCATTACTGCGAACAAATAATTTGCCGACTTTCTTTTTGCTGCATCTGCCGCCACCGCAATTGTATATTTCCTACAAACATGTCCATTTCTCTTAAACTAGAAACCACCAACATTAAGTGATTTATAGCATGTAATGCACATTGTACATGAATATCTTTGGGTATTGGTAGGTTTTCATTGATTATCTTTTAAAGGCCATTTTGTAGTTTCAGGTGATGTCACTGAAACAGTTACTTTTATGTATGATCTACAAATGTATTACTTGCATGCCCTGTACTTAATTCCTTTTTATGAGAAGACAATATACATGCCCTTACCATCGTTAGAAAGTTCCTTCAGTCTAAAGTATTTGTCTTTTTTTAACACAAGTTCATCTTTTATTCATTGTCAATGGCTTAAATCCCTGTTTATTACAGAGAAATACTTTGACATGAACAAGAAGCAGTGTAAGGAAGGACTGGACACCTACAAGAAGTTCCTCATCAGGATGGACAAAGTGTCCGACTTCCTTAAGACGGCAGAGGTAAGACTTTAAGAAGCCATGATGTCTTTGTGCCAGGAATGTCCTGAAGGCTTGTCCACCAAGGATTCTAAGGAGAAATTCCTTTCTTGGAAACTTATCTTCAAAAGATAGACAATGCTAAAGAATGATTCATAAAATGTAACTGGAACACAAAATTTCCATTTCTAATGACTGCCTTCTATAGAAATTTCATATCATAAGACATTTGTGTAATAAAGACAACAATCCCTTTCTTATTATAGTTATTCTATTGTTTTTCATTTGCTAAAGGTTCATAACTCCCCATGCTTTGTGTTCTACATCCTAACATCATAAGGAATTCATTTCGTATTGAAAATGCATTCAAAACCGGATCAAACAGGCTCTAAAACAAGTTTACTATAATAAAAGAATCCTGGTAAAGCTATGGACATTCCTTAAGTGTATAGTTGTCTTTCTCTGTACATGCATTTAATACATCATGCTCATCTTATTAAGGTTTGGCTGTTGACAAGACAAAATTATTTGTTCAGAGTTAGATTTGTTCCTTTGCTTCTGCATGTATGTATAATATGTGTGCCATGGTGGTGGTGTTTTTATTTTGCACGAAAATTAATATTTATTTTCTTGCTTGAAACCCTAGAGTTTTATTTGGCACCGCATCATGCTATATCACAAAATAACACATCATTCTGTGAACCTTCACTGTCCAAATTGTCCAACGTTTCAAAAACAGTAAGTTGTTGTGAAGTTTAAACAAAAGACAATTTTTTCCCTAGAAAAGTTGAAACTAAATCTGAATTCCCAAATTTTGTGTATATAATCATGCTGCCGTAGACACACATGTGGAGGCCCCATCATTATGTAAGTCCCCTTCAGCCCAAAGTCATTTTTGTGCTTTGTTCGCCTGTCCAATCCCCAAAAGAATTTCATTTTTTTAAAACTCATAATACGCCCATTCCATCTTCAAGCCTGCCATTTTGAAAACAACATTGAGTTTTGACTGCATTTTCTAAATTTCCCAGTTTTCCCACCCTTTGGCATGAAATCTTTCTCATAATTAGTAACTGTAGGGAATGTCGTTTTTCTTTGCATGGATGTCACACACACACGGTTAAAGGCACATAAAAATTGTTTCTCAGGCCTAGGAAAAAATGTTGTATTTCCTATTTCAGTCCTGAAAAAAAATTAGGTTGGTAGGTAAGGATTAGCTATTTTAAAACTTTTTTTAGACTTTCTGGATCCCTAGTGATCCAACTTATACAATACAGTTTAACAAAATACTAAAACTTGCATGTCAGAGGACACTTATACGTTAACAATAATGTCAATGTTGAAAAACTGTTTGAACAAGGTTTCTTAACTCAAGTGTCAGATCATGGAGGTAGAAAAGGTTGGTAAGCTTGAAAAATTGATACAAAAAAGGCTAGGGTCGGCAGTTTTTTCTACGGTCGGTCAGGAAACAGGAAACAACATTTTTTCCAAGACTTCACAGATGTATGTCACAAGTACACATTTACAAGAAAAGACTACAGCTAGTAGATAGAAATTATATTTTACTCTCACATTTGATTGTTGTTCTTTTCCTTTGCAGCAAGTTGGAATTGACAAGGGGGAGATTCCAGATCTAACCAAAGTAAGTCAGGCTCAAGTAAGTATCTGTGTATGTGGTGGTAAGGAAGCTGTGCTATAGTGCCCTCTGCAGTGTAGTGGATCTGTTAACTCACCACTTCTTCTCACCTCTGAAAGGTAGGCTTCAAGCTTACACAATTATAATTCAATCATCGGTGTGTTGTGTACATTTAATTAAAGGCACCCAATGCAATTTCCAAGGTGGCAAAACGAAAAAAATTCTGGATATTGACTGATATTGACATTTACTGCCATTTCTTGGCACATTTTCATTATCATTTTGTACTTCGAATCATAGGCCCAAAATCAGCTATACGGGAAGTCTCTTTATTTTTTGGTACCACCAATAAATTGCAAGACCCACCCAATGTTATAAAACAAGCCACCATTTTCCATCACATGTTTGCCTCAGATATCAATATGCTATGGGATTTGAAATTGAGTATGAAAATCCAGTTTTACTGTCCTGAAATAACTATGTGTCTTAAAGGGCTCAAAATGGAATTTCATCAATGAAAAAGCAAAAAAATCGACATTCTACAAATTCTAGTTCATTCTCCAAGTTCATGTTATGTGTACAAAGTTGCTCATCGGTCTATGAACACAATGAGTAAGTATTAAAAAAATATGGAATAGCAAAACATGCCATAACCTCCATGTATATTTTATGAAGCTTGGCTATTTTGAGCTCTGTGCCTTGCGCTGTCAATATTTTGCATGTAAAATCATAACTGCTGAATAGCTTTGTCTTTGTGGTGACTCACCAATTGTATTTGTCTGTGTAGAGACTTCGATCCGGTAGAAATGGCGATTCTATACTCAAAGTATAGATCAGGATGTTGTTAATGTGTTGGTTTCCCATTTACAAACCATTAATTCCAAGTCAATCCATCTAAAATGCCATGAATCAAAGTTTAATCTTTCTCAGTTCTGACTGTCTTTCAAGTGGACATCTTGAAATCTACAGACCAATCAGGATCTCTATACAGGGCTCAAAAATACAGGGTGCATGTGCACCTTAGTGCATTCAAACTTGGAGCTGTGCACCCAATTTTTTTCTCTGGTTACAACTGTACACCTAAATATTTTCACAGGTTTATGTAGAAAATATGATAATAGTAGCACACACCACATTCTTATTAATAATAACATCTAAGTGTCAGAAAATAATAAAATCATTGTAAGTACTTTTCTTTAGAAATGGGACATATATAGTGCACAGGATATTCCCCAAAATGAATTTTGAGCCCTACTATATCTGTAGGTAGAATTATTGATTGTACCAGTTCGGAGTCTCTACCCTGACATCTACATGTACAATGTATATCATGAACTATCCACCTCACCCCATCCTTATTTCAGCTGATTAATCTCCCTGTCTGGATGGTGTATTAACTTTCACACTGGGTGTTTACAAATCTGTGTCTAATGAGGCGAAACTGCTGAATGTTAAGGGTTTCTACTGATGACAATATAGTAGTGTTATTACAGTACAGATCTTGAATAACTTCCCGTCTATACATGCGTACAAATTATGATCAAAGGTCATGTAAATGCTGAGCATTTCTTGATTAAAATGCATGCAAAAGTCATGCACTTCTCATGTAAATCATGTTATGTCAATAAAGAATCTGTATGTTGAATTCATGTTCAATTCTTGTATGTAAATTGAATATAGAGTCTGATGTTTATGTTATCGTTGGTTATGTATTATAGATAGCCACAAGCAATCACAGTTCATTAGTGCACACAGTTTATACAGCTTCTGCAGAAGCTTTTAGTTGGTAATGGTCAATGCAGCAAATAAAAATGTATTTTTACCTAGTGCATTATAAAAAATGTATATAAAAGTTGAATGCAGGTTGGAAATACCTGCAAAGCTCCAATTTTACCTACCCTTACCTGCATCTCCAGAACTGGTGGTATTTTCAGTAAGCTGATGATTGTTACTAGCTAAATGTACCTACATGTTTTGTACAAATTGCTAACTTAGTACGTCTTTCTTCACCACTAGGCACCTGCCAGCTTGCTGGATGCTCTGGAACAACATCTGGCAGCCATGGAAGGGAAGAAGGGCAAGTCTGAACGGTATGTGATTTGTTTGATATTAATTTAATGATAATAACAATAAATTATTGCTCAGAGCCCCCTACACTAGTAGGGCAAAAAAACGCTATTTTAACGCTAACGGACAAATGCGTTTCCAGTTTATCGCTTCTCAGGAAGCATTGTTCTAAAAACTACGCTTAGCTATCGCTTCTTTATCGGTTCTCAAACGCTCCTTTAACGCTCCCTTAACGCTACTTTCTGTTATGATTCCCCTTTGTTTCAAAAACACATTCCTTTATCAGCTGTGAAAACTCGCGCGTCTACGAGAATCACGCCCCGCACCGCGTTCCCGGGCCGACCGGCGAGTGACACGCGGCCGGCCAAAGCCCTTTGATTCGAAGTGGCACACAGCCACCAAACAGCGTACGCGTGGAGTCAGCGTTTGCTTTCTCCACGTATGATTCCGTGTTTTCCTTGGTACGTCAAAGGAGCTTGAAATCATCCGTCTCCTTAGCGAACAGGGAATTGCGTTGTTTTCAGAAAATAGCGACAAATGTCGATTTTATCGGCGACGCACTCGATACATCTCCCGTGAACTGATCATTTGCGCCAGTTTTATAGAACCGCCGACGGTACTCAAGGAGCGAAAGCGCCTTGCGGTAAATACATATAACTTGACACCGGCATACAATACTATTGTTAGTATCTCCGTCGACAACAAAGGATAATCCTGCCATGGAAGCGTTCTAGAAGCGATTGGTCCTTTCCATGTCCTCCCAAAAAGCGATAACCTGGCGATATTGTTGCGATCGCACGTACTAAACTGTCCACGGAGCTATCCATTGTTGAGCAGAAAATGCAGTAACTTTGAAGCAGCACGTAAGTCTGGCGGTACGACAAGCTTCACGGGTCGATTTTATCCGCGAAATAATGAATGTTTGTATGAATGTGTCAGATTTTGTAATATTAATAATCGCAAACATTACAGTGTGTTTTGTTAGGTTTCCGACACACGCAACACGTCAGCCGCTGTGTGGGTAATTTTTGTGATCTCGGTTTCCATATTTTCTCGTTCGTATTCGGCGTACATCGTCAACCAATCAATTTGTATGGTCTCCTTCCGAAATACTGCGATCTTGGTCGGGAAAGTTCGGTAGCGAGCTGAATATTTGCTTACGGGGAGGAAAGACCACAAACACATTTGTCGTATGAACAAGGACGTTGATGTAACCATTATAACGTCCTTGGTATGAAGTCAATCAGTTATTGAACAAACATCTCGTGATAAACTCTGTTGATAAGAGTGGTTTTACAAAAAATCAAAATCTGAGGT